TGAACTAAGGAGCCCAGAACTGGACTCCAAACCCTTCTCCAGCTCCGTTGCCCTTCTCTGGACATGGTCCAGCACTTCAGTGTCTTTCTTGGAGTGAGGGGCCCAAAACTGAACAGAGGATTCGAGGTGCAGCCTCACCAGTGCCCAGTACAGGGGGACAATCCCTGCCCTGGTCCTGCTGGCCACACTGTTCCTGATGCCAACCAGGATGCCACTGGCCTTCTTGGCCACCTGGGCACACTGCCGGCTCATATTCAGCTGCTGTCGACCAACACCCCCAGGTCCTCTTCCTCCACCCACTTGCCCCCAAGCCTGTGGCGTTGAAGGGGTTGTTGTGACATACTACAGTGAAGCAGCTTACAAGCAACAGGGACGTATGGTTTCCTTTTACAAGTGCAAATCCCAAGACAATTACAAGCAGATCAAACCTTACATGACTTCAAGTGACTGGATCAGGACAACAGTAACCACCCCTCAGGCCCAAAGAAAACCTTGCTGAGTACTTACTGCAGGCCCTCCTCCATGCATTTTCAGAGCTCGCACTGTAGCAACCAACACCACCACATGAGGCCGGAGACCAGAATAGCGGCACTTAATATTAAAGAATTTCTCCATGCCTATGTCTGCACCAAATCCTGCTTCTGTAACTAGAGCAGAAGTTAAAAGAAGTTTGTGAGAGGTTTCTGGCTAAAGATATCATACTCTGATTATACAAACCAGAAGCTTCTTCCAAGACAAAAAAACCCCAAAAGACAGTCATGATAAAAAAAGGCAGATCCCTCCCTGCAAAACAACCAAACACAAGCAAACAGAAACCCACCCCCCACACACTTACCAACAAACCCCTCTTCACCCACAAGCTTCAGTGCTATTTTGTCTGCCAACACTGAAGAATTCCCATGTGCAATATTTGCGAAAGGTCCGGCATGAACAAACACTGGTGTTCCCTAGAAAAGGAAGAGGGTGTGGGAGAGAGAAAGAGAAAATCAGAGGGTACAATTTAGCAAATCTGCAGGATTTCAGGAGCTAAGTACTATGGTACCTGAAGGTAAAGAAAAATGCTTTAAGACGACAAATCTTAAAGCCTTCTGATCAAACATTTGTTATCAGTAATAAGGACTACAGGGCAAACAGGATTATAATAATCTGCACAAGTGGAGATATTAATCCTCTTACGAAAAGGATGGCTAAAGCCTATCAATTCTGCTGTTCTCCTACATCCAAACCTTTTGGTTTCCCAAAATACATCCTGGCATTAAAGAAAACAGAACAGAGACATAGCATTTCCTCAGGATCATTCCACATGCCAGTGGCAGACCTAGAAAGAAGCTAGCCTTCTCCCCTAGCCCTGAACCTTAGGTAGGAAACCATAGTAAACCTCCAACTCTAAACAGAGTAAACCCATGCTGATTGTGATGAATGAATTAAACCAGTTGCTTCTTGGCTCTGAGAATGCACATATAGCAAATCATCTGTGCTCACCTCTAGCGTCTGCATGAGGTTTGGTTTAAGAGCATCTTTCATCAAGACAGCCAGAGCACCAGTCACTCCCTAAAAGAAAAAAAAAACCAAACCGGCAATCAGTTTCCAGACGTACCGAGACCTTGAGACAGTTCCTATGCAGTGTCAAGGCTCTGCTTTAGTCCTGCTGAGCTTTCAGGACCAAAACCAGCAGTTGCTCTAAACATAACCTCGTCAGGGCAAGGCGGAATAATGACCTTTACATTCTTGTCAGAGGGTCTGTGATTTCTGCTGGGGGCAGCATCTTGCTACATGACCTTGCCTGGCCACCACTCTGTAGTGAAGGCATAAAGAACAATTCCTGTTTTAATGCCAGATCATCAGCGAGAGAGTAACCCTTAGGTATGTATGGTTTACTGTAGCCCACTGTGGCTAAAAGCAGTGTTCTTAGGTTTTGCAGGTAGATTTGTCTTAGATTTTTTTCCTTCCTCATTTCAGCAACTAGGCTCTACATACTGGCCTTAAAATGTCATAACAAGCTGCTACATCCTGTCTCTTATGCAGAAATAACTTTTAAAGTGAACCCCTGTGCTCATGGGAAAGAGCAGGTTGACATCATGAAAGGCAAACACTGGAGCCCATGTTTCCTCTTAAGTGTAACAATATACCCTGCTGCAATTGCGTTTCCTGCAAAGTGAAAGCTTGGATTACATCCATATCTGCTTTGGGAAGAAAAAAATGAGGGTTTGGTCATCCTTGTGACTGACAGTCCAGTGGAAACCAAACCAGCTGTTACCCAGCACTTGCAGAAGTAACCAGAACTGCTATATGGTTACTGAGCCAAATGTTCACAGCAGTTATGAAAATCTTCAACCATCATTTCTTTTTCTTCCCTTTTAATTTCAATTGGATTGCAGCACTCAATTAGATGAAATTTCTTTTAAAAGACATTCACTGCTTTGTTTCATTAGTTTCAATCTTGCTACATGAAAGCTTATTTAACATTTAATGGGTAAGTTTTAAAATTCAGTCATCTCCAGAATAATGAAAACTACAGAGCAAGATTTCCATGGCGACATTTCAGGCCTGTGTCACTCAGAGGCATTTCAATATATCCCATCTCTAAAAACATGTAGTCAGTTTTTGATTCCACACTTCTTCCCAGTTCCTTTGCGCTTCCTGGTAGCACACATGGGTTATATCACAGCAGAAGGACCCAGGCATCTTACTGAGGCAGCCTGGTCTCTGCAGTCATTTCTGCCTGTACGAGGAGTATGTAACACAGACCTAATGATGCAAGCCAATGGCTGTCATCAGTGTGAACATAGAACATTCAAGAGAATCTGTTGGATGGGTCTGATACCATCCTCCATTCCACAGTTGCAATGGACAAAAGTAAATATAATTAGATTTGGAAAAAAACCCCAAACAAAAAAAAAGAAGAAAAAACTTCTATCACCTGGACTCTACATAAAAACCACAAAGCAGCTCCCTACCCAAGCACCATCTGCCTCCACTGCTGATGGGCAGCAGGAGAGACTCCTCTTTTACAGAATAGGGTTTAATTTGGGTAGTTAAGGTTGAACTGGCAGCATGCTAGCAGTAGGAATTAAAATCTCAAAGCTGCCTACAGAAATTTGGCACATGCCCACACTCATTCCCAACAAATGCCTCACATAAGGACATTTACAGATAAACAGTTCCCAGCCTCGCCGTTTTCCTGCAAGGCCACAGTCAGGCCACATTGCTAATCTACTGTTTCTTAGGCTTTTGCTGAGGGGAAGTAAAACAAACAAACCAATCAACCCCAAACACAGAAAAAGAAAAAAAAACCAAACCCAAACCACAGAAAGATAGCAAGAGCTAGGTAAGCCATAGTCCCACTTTGCTGGAAACACAAGTCAGGATACCCAACCCTGTGGAATCTTCTGTCCCACTGAAAATGTTCATTCAGAAAATGTAATACTCCTGCCTTTTGCAAAGGAGGCTGTGAAATACCTATTACACAGGACAGTAGTAAGCACCAATATTCTATCTCTATTGACTAGCGCAACAGTTCTCACCCTCTTCTGTCTTGAGGCCAAGTGGCAGGGCACAGTTCACATACAGGGCTGAATTCCCCTTCCACTCTCTAAGCAGGGTTGCCATCTTCAAAACATTTAGAGGAAGAAGTGTTTGGGGCACAGGTGATTCCCTGGAAACTACGCTGAAGCACAATTTGGTAGAGTAAGAACTGTACTAGTAATTATCGTATGGACAACTGCAAGACACTGCTGCAGCTTGCAACTGCTGCTTGGGACTGCTTTATATACTGGCAATAGGCATTGCCAGTGCTACTACATTCAGCATTTAATGTAGTGGAAATAAAGGACTAGTGTCCCTCATCAAAGGCTGCCTTGTGGAGACCTTGCACTTTTTGCAAAGGGTTTGGCTTTTACAGCATTCACAGCTACTCAGAATAAGACATTTCATCATCTATAATTAAATTTGCACAAGGCTTTGTTCCTGCTCAATGTTTCCCTCACTCCAGGGGGCTTGACAAAACAGGGTGGCCAGCAGGATGCATTTTGAGTTCTTTTGATTTGTAAATATGCTTTTTATCTAGATAGAAGCCACCATATATTTCCCCATTTATTCCTATGGTGTTAGCTTCAACTCGACCCACAGCAGGTCACACAGGACTCTTTGTCCCTGCCCAGGTCATGAGCACACACACACTCTCTTCTGGGTAAGGTGCTAGCCACACTGAAATGAAAAACTTGCATTAACTTCAGGGGCTAAGATTTCATCTTTGATCATCTACATGCCAAGGTCTTTTCTCTACAGAACTGTCTCTATGCTTTTCAATCCAAGGGCTTCCAGAAGTAAATAGGAAAAAGCATTTAAGGAGTGAATGACTCTCTTACAAGGTCATCTGCTGTAACTGGTTCTCCTCTCTTGCTGGAGGCTACAACCATTCTGCCCAGTCGCTTTTTCATATCATCCAACCCATCAGAGAGCGCTAGAACTGCCATGATTTCACTGCTCACCGTGATATCAAACTGAGCCTGCAAGAGATGAATAAAGAATGTGAACTTATCAAGATTCCCTAGCAATAATCCTTACCTCTGTTAAATCCTAAAAGACCACAAAATAGACATACAAATACAAAAGAAATCCAAAGCATTACTCTCAAAACACAATTCATTTAAGTTGGCCATTTCAAACTGGATTTTCTTCTGAAAAATTAAGTAAAAACTACTTATTCCATTGCTTGTGCATGACTCATACATCAGTGATTCATGTAGGAATGCTTAACACTAACAAATTATATTTTGGAAGACAGCTTACTAACTCATCTGACTATCACTAAGCAATGCAGTAAATGTTTTGGGGGAAAATCAGATTGTATAGGAAATGAGGGGTAGAATGCATCTGACAAGGCAGACACCTCCATCGAAGCTAAGCACTCCAGGGCCATTTCAAGTCAATAGAAAGAGGCTTTTCTGAGCACAATTCATTTGAAGTAACTGTCAAATTAATAGTTAAGGGATGAGAGGAGTCACAGCCCAGCTTGCCTATTTAACTCTGCTGATTATGTAATGAATTGAGACAACCAGCTCAGATACCGTGCCTAGTTTTGGCCAGATACATCCCACCCAAAGCACCTGCAGTGGTGAAGATCAGCCATTGCCACGCATCATATTTACAGAGGGCACTTGGGTTCCAAGGTTATCATGCCACATTCATCTCAGTTCAGGAAGCCAACGTTCAGGAGAGAACAGACAATAAAACTAAACACTGCACTGGTAGCAAATTTAATTGCTTTCTCGTTAAAGAGGTACTGGTAAAAGATAGAATTATCTGGAGTTACAGAAACTTGCTTTAGGACCATGTTTTTTTTCTGTGCAAGAAAAGGCAATAATTACCGTTCGTGAGAAGCCTTTTTCTGTTGGAGACTGTCCAATAGTGATTTTCCTGAGGAACCTGTCATTTGTATCCAGTACTGCAAGGATCACAGAGAGAAAGATGAGAAGTCACATGGCAAGTCATAAGTCACATCTATGCCCCATTACAAACACCCAGCTAGATCACCTATGAAGAGAGGATGGCAGTCTGAGATACCAACCTCTCCTAAAGAATTGCAAGTGCTATTCCACCTGATTCTTCCTCAAATCTCAACTGCAACAAAGTAAAGATACCCACAGCCACACGCAGACTCTACACTGCATCCAGCGGGATGGATGTGTACATTAACCACAAGTCTAAAGCCTCTCTGCAAAGCAGAGCCACTAGTGTTATTCTGATTGCTTTTTCCCCGTCGTTAATCAATGTGAAATCAGGAAATTATTGTAGCCAAACAGAAATACAATTATTATTTTATAAGTTATGTGATAAAATGCTCAGATTCTACCATTTAGTGAGTATAGTTTCACACAGCTCAATAACTCAAATTACCTTGAAAATACAAATTATCAAATACTGCCTTAAATTCACTGTTTCTTACTATCTGCTTGAAAAATTTGAAGTATTTCCCATGAGGCAGACTACTTTAGCCCCATTACAGGTTATGAAGCAAATTTTGGAGAATGCATTTCTCTGTACTTTAATAAAAAGAAGAAAAAGCAATAGTCTTTGGGTCTAAATCAGGAAAAAATGTTTATATTTGAACTCAATTTTGCTGGTGAAATATTAAATCTGCCAGACCAGAAACTAATCTTGCATCCAGGTAAAAAAAAACCTCAACACCCAAACAAAACAAAACCAAAAACTTTAAATCTGGGCTTCATTTGCTGTCAGACCCCAACACAGCAAGCGGGCAGATTCAAACTGAGTTTAATGCCAGAGCAGAACCCACTCCTTGCTCACAGAGCTGTCAGGTAAAAAGGCTGTTGGCTACAGTTGCCAAATTCAACATTCTCAGTGATTGACAAATCCAGAAACACAAACTTGCACCAATTAGTGAAGTTGCAATCTTTGTGAACTCAGAGCAGATTCAAGCCCCTGTGTCAGACCCTTTAGAAATGGGATCTATCCCACCATACACTAAGAAGGAGAGGCCATTCCTGACCTCTTTTCCATTTTCCCAGGAAACCCAGTCCTTGCTGCACTTGCAAACCTCTCCTTTGACATACGTTTTTTTTCTTAATAATTCTTTCATTTAATGGCTCCTGTACCTCTTTGCCATGTTATGGTGCTTGGGTCAATGTCCAGTCTCACAAATGAGTTTATTTCTTCCTTTGTCAAAGCCATAGGATCGGTTTTGTTAATGCCCAATTTCTATGGGAAGAAAAGAGAAATAAAAAGAAAAAAGGTATGATGAAAAGACTCACAGAAATGAACCTTTAACTGGAGCAGATAATGCTGCTGAAGGCTCATTGCATATTCAGAGACAAAGGGCTGCCTTTCTGGTGTCCCTTCCCCTAGAACCCACAACAAAATACAATGATGCCCATCAGGGCGTATCTGGAAGCAGAGCTTGCTGCTGGCCAGCTAGTAAAGGGCAAAGACAGACATATAGCTCAGAAGGGCAGGTTGTCAGCAAGCTTTGTGCAAGGCATCTACAGGAAAAGTAAGAGAGCTCTGCAGCTCCTTACACGCCTTGTCCCAATCATTAGTCTCACAGGCTTACATCCATTTCTCATTAGTTTGCCTAGGGTCACTGCACACAGCCATACGTATTTAAAGACACTGCTTTCAGCATGCTGGTTAAGCAGCACAAAGGAGGAATTAAACAATTCAGTCACAAGGCTGTCAGCATCCCAGAAAGCTGATCTTGAACATACTGAGAGGATGGGCAGTTTGCCAAGTTGCTTAATTGAGAGAAGAATTATCTCAAGGAGCCCGATACAAGCGCAAGCTTAGGAACGAGGAAAACGATTGAATTGATTTATGAACGAGCAAGCTTTTTTAATTAACTAGACAGCTAAGTCGTATTTTTCTCCTGAACAACAGCAGAGAAGAAGAAAGTCTGTTCTCTTCCTCTTCAAGCATATCATTTAGAAAAAAGAAAGAAAGAAACTAACAAAAATCATCTTTCTGGAGTATTAGCATCCTGTTCACATCTCGACATTTAGTAGCCAGAAGAGTGGTTAGGGTAGAGTTCCCACCGCAGTCCATCAGGAACATCAAGCAGTATGACAGAGCTGCTTTGCTCAGCAGTGGAAGCAAACTACTACTACAAATAAGGGAGACCTTATTGCAGCCTTCCAGTGCCTGAAGGGGCTACAAGGAAGCTGGGGGGGGACTTTTTACAAGGGCCTGTAGTGACAGGACAAGGGATAACGGGTTTAAATTGAAAGTGGGGAGGTTTAGATTAGATATCAGGAAGAAGTTCTTCCCAGAGAGGGTGGTGAAGCACTGGAACAGGTTGCCCAGAGAAGCTGTGGATGCCCCATCCCTGGAAGTGTTCAAGGCCAGGCTGGATGAGGCTTGGAGCAACCTGGTCTAGTGGAAGGGGTCCCTGCCCATGGCAGGGGGGGTGGGACTAGATGATCTTTAAGGTCCCTTCCAACCCTAACCATTCTATGATTCTATGATATTCTCTAATGGCTGAGATATTGTCGACAATTAATAAATGTTTTAGCTTCCTAAGTAGCCTGATTATTGCTCTTAACTTCCAAATGGGCAACTGACCCAGCCTCAATACCATACAAACAGATTCATACTTGGAATGAAGTTCACAGGCCCCAGGCCCCCTTCCAAGTCAGAAGGTCCAAGCCCAGTGCAAAACTACTCCTCTGTTAATCCTCATTTTTGTGGAAGTCAGGGACACATGCTAGTTCATGTTAATTTTTGAGGATGCGAGGAGCTGTGGTCTGCTCAGGGACTGCCATTTAATGACAGGGCTACTCATCTAACTGTAAAATCTTTTTGGGGAGAGGAGTGGGCAATGTAGGGGAGGAGTGAGTTGTGGGGTGGTTTTTTTTTTTTCCCCAATTTTCCTGTTTTCTCAATCTGGATAAGACAAAAAATTCTCTATGTTCTCTTTTTGCTGACTTTTATAAATTACCATTTTGTGTGCTGCATGATGTATATAGCTGTCACATGGGAACTATTCACCCCTGGCTGTAACTGGGTGTAAGGTACACTGACTGATTCTGGTCCTTTCTTAAACTGCATTAAAAAACACTGAATTGACACTATTAATGAAGGGCACTAATCCCTTTGCCTCTTCCCACTGCATTACACATACAGCATACAATAAAGCGAGTTACATTGATGATTCTACCCCTTGGGACTGCATCTCACTGTTTTGTGTGTTGTAAGAAGGGCTACCACTCATCTGCCCACTTTATATAAGAAATAAATGACAGCAGAATGACCTAGACAACATAAAGGTTTCTGTAACCTAGCTCTGCCTACAAAAAGGAGGAGTAAATGGAACAGAACCAGAAATCAATGCAAAACCAGTGAACTTACCTGCAGTCTTCGAATCTGAATGTCTGAGAACTTCCTAACACCACTGACAGAAGGCACCAAACGGTTGTAGAAAGCCTTGCAGAATGAAACAGATAGTTAATTAGCACTGGTGGCACACTCAAAACATCCTGGCCAAAGCAGGCCTAGCTCAAGTATGCAATAAGAAAGGAATGTACCTGATCAGTCTGAGTTAGCTCATGGAATATACGTGCATCAACAGCAGCAGCTACCAGGTTGTTGGCTGCAGTGATAGCATGGATGTCACCAGTGAGGTGAAGGTTAAACTAGAGGAGATAAAACATATCAGTTACCTCATCCTGCTGCAATTTTCATTTATTTCAATTCATTGTAGACAGATGGAAAGAGAAGTATTAATAGCAATGTTAAAGTGGGTGAGGGTGGTGGGGGAGAGATTGCTCAGCGCAGTATGTGGCAGAGGGGAAAGAATTTCTCTAAAACAGAAAAATGCCTCCCCCACATTTATGTCATTTTACAAACTTCCAGGATGAAGCTGCCAAATACATTTTTTTTTTTTCCATGGGAACAATTCTCACAGGCTCAGGTGAGCTTGACACCTGATAAGACCATGGTACCGCACATCTGCGTCGCTCCTCCTTCACCTTCCTTCCGACCCACTCTCACTATTTGCACAATAGTTTTCACACATACATTAGCTGAAGCTGCTGCTGCTCCCACAAAGACATCTGAGCTAAACTGAAACTAGCAACCTTGTGTAGTGCTAGCAGTAGAGCTGTGGTTGCAGAGCTCTGCATAAGCTAACCACTCAAACACACAGTATCGTAGGCAGCACTTGTAGACCATGTACTACACAGTGACACTGCTAGTAATTTTCTTGGTTCTATCTCATTAAAAGAGTGAGTGGGTTTGTCTGGCTGCGCTGTAGCTATACCGACAAATGGCTTGGGATACAGAGCTTATGTGACAAACTTGCATTATGGCAGGGGAGTAAGAGGTGTGGTTAAAACAATCCTTTTCCTCTGTAGCACAGCAGCAACGGGGGAAGATGAAAAATGGGACATTAGAAAAGGTGATATGACAGAAGACCTTACAATACCATTTTGCTGAGGTCTTGCTACTGTGGCCTTAAAAACCAGACAGCTGAAAGCAGAATGCAGCTAGTCACAGTCTGTTTATAAATCCTCATCAGTAAATGCTAATTGCTGCCTCCTACTACATATATGCAACAAGAAGCAATTGTTACTACCTTGGTTCTGCAGTATGAACTCAAGAAGTTTTTCACTTACTAATCTTTTCCTAGGATGAAAGCTGCATGCAGAAATATCAAATGATGTATCAAGGTCATTACTTTAACTAGTGACTCCACATACTTCAATTTTATGAAACATGCATCTATTAAAACACCCCCACAAAACCATGCGTACTTATACCATGTGGGTCATACTTAAAGAAAGTCCTTTCAGCCAGTTTCATTCCAAGAGTGGGATTATTTCCCACTGCTGCACAGTCAAGTATTTTGGCTCATTGTAATAACACTCCCAAAGAGGAGGAGATTATTCTTCCTGGCACATCTATCATTCACACATGTTCTTGGCACCTAACTAAATCAATATTCTGCCTCTTTAACGTTTTTCTCTTTTATGGACTAGCTGCATCAGTTGGAATGCAGAGCCCTTTTGATCATTTCTGCATTTCTTCCTAAAATTACCCTGTGTCAGTCTATAGTGCATGAGACAAAGGTAGAATTCTACAGGCAATTACTTTGAGAGTTGAGAAGCAGGAGAGCACGTGCTACACGTGCCTTTCAATTCCCTGCCCCCAGACATGGGATTTTACTTGTTGCCAAGTCACGTCAGAAATATGCTACAGTGCCAGTCCCCCACAGGCTGAGGTCTAGGCATTACTGATTCCCAACTTCCCTTTTCCCATTTCATGTTAGTAATCTAAAACACAAGCACACCAAAATAGCTCACAGAAAGAGGCAGTGACCACCGCTGCTGACAGAGCTCCCTAATATGCTTCTGAAACATATTAAGTCATTATCATCCTCATTTCAGTGATGGGAAAAAGGGACAGGATGTACTTTGCTCAAGGGTATACAGCAATTCAGCGCAGAGAAGGGGAGGAAACAGAGGAACTGGGAATTCCTAGTTCCATGAAATTCCCAGACCATGCAGGCACCCTTCTGAAGCAACAAAAGTTGTCTTTTTAAATTTTAATTTTTTTAAAAAAAGCTTTGCTGAAATAGAGCATCTAGTGCCCAGGAATGCTACACTGGGCCATAAACAAAAAAGATGTTATAAGTTATCTGGCTGCACTATCTCTTCAAGGTCTGTAAGCTGTATGTTCAATGAGGCATTGTATAAAGAATTACCTCTTCCATGGGGATAACTTGACAATAGCCACCACCTGCAGCTCCACCTACAGAGAGACAATAGTCAAATCACACAAATAAAGGTCTCGCTAACCCAGAGTGATATTACATGTGTTTGCTTAATGGCTTTAAGAAGGTAGCTACTGTTGAGCAGCTTAGTTTAAATCCCAGCACAGCACTCGAAGACAACACCGAAGAACTTACCCAAGTTTTTCTTTCTTAGAAGAAATGCAATTGTAACTGGGAGTTATGTAAAACTGCAGTGCAGCAGAAATAAAATCTCTGAATGCCATCTTTCCCCGGTTAGTCCACCTGCAAACAACAGAGAACAGCTCATACCTTTTATACCAAAGGTTGGCCCTTGAGAAGGCTGACGAACACAGGCAAAGACATTCTGGTGAAGGTGTGCTCCTAAGGCTTGAACAAGACCGACAGTGGTGGTGCTTTTACCCTCTCCCAGGGGAGTAGGAGTTATCCTGTCGTGAAAAAGCAGAACAGACACAATTAAATCTTATAGTGGGCAAGACTCAAAACATCGGTATAAAACAGTCACCCAGTGATTGCAGTTAAGGCCAAATCAAATTCTGGATTTGCTTCCACTTCAGCTAATCTTCATCAGTTTGAAACTGGAATGAGATTGGCAAATTATCACATAACTGCCACAGACTTTCCTCTGAAACAACCTGCTAGTTCTTGTTGAAGGCAGACTACTAGACTAGGAGAACTTTGACTACGACCCAGTCTGCTCGTCATACCCCTGAGCTGCAGACCAAAACAATTAATCTCCAGGAGATAAATGTTAAACTACATTCCCACTGTTTGCCACAAGAGATAAATCTTTTTCCCAAACTGCTAGATTTTCACAGTGTGATTTACTAAAACCCAGAGCACTCCACACAGTCACCTTACGAAAAGACAATACAATGACAACCCATACTAATAACATTTTTTTTTCACCTTGACATCATGTAAGTGATGCCTCAGTTAAGGAAGTACCTACCCAGTAACAACGACATATTTGCCATCTGGCTGGTTCTTCAGCCGTTCCAGAGCTGACAGATGAACCTTGGCTTTAGTTTGGCCGTACAGCTCCACCTCATCAGGGAGCAGGCCAACTTCTTTTGCAACTTGATCAATAGGCTTTGGCATGTAAGACTGCGATATTTCAATATCACTTAAAGAAAGAGAGCAAAGTCAGTTTATAAATCAAAGACTTCTCACAAATTCCTCACTTCTGGATGGAATAAGCTACAAAACCTAATCTGTATTTTAAAAGGGAAGCTTTAACCTTTCCTAGTTAAAAGAATCAATCCCCTAATCCCACTGTTATTGGCTACATTAGAATAGACACATCCTCAGCTGCCTTCTAAAAAAAAATAATCCACAATAAAAAAAAAAAACCAAACACCAGCCCTCCCCCAATCCTCCCCACTGAAGAATGCATTTTTGTAGGCAGTGTTATGCTCCCTTATGGTATTTTGAATATTTTCAACTGTTCCTTGGGGAGCTGACACCAACAACTCTTACTTTGAGATGCCATGTTTTTGACATGTCAGACTGAAAATTTTCCAAAATACAATCATGTTGCTCTTTGACAAATCAGCAACTATTTAGGTGGCCTAAAGAGTCTGTGGAAGTCCATGTTTATTCCTTAATATTATCAGGATGACCCAAGCCTATACTTCAACACCACTGCAGCTTAGCTCTGCTCCCTTAGGAAGGCCTCACAGTACTTTCTCTCTACTTCTCTCCAAACGTCAAGGCCAGCTACAGTCTACATACACGTATGTCTCATATTCCACAAAGCTTGGGAACAGAAGTGAATACTATACTGCGTGAATACTGCCAGTGGCTTCACTCGAAAACATTACCTTGGAACAGGAATCTTTAGGGTAAGCTGATTATACTGGATGTTCCATTTTCCAGGCTCAAACTTTTCCAGAAAACGTTGTGCACTCTCCACTGTGCTCTGAAATGAGCATAAGAATGCATTATAGCAACCACCACCAGCACAATGAACCACACTGGTTAACAAACAGACTCAGAAAGGTTTTCCCCTCCCATCTGTCTTAGTTTGGGATTAATACAAAGTGCTTTGATGAAAGCATTTGCTATCAATCCAAAATGAGATTCTCCTCGTAGTTTTCTTAAAAACAAGACTCCCCACCATATCTATTCTATCCACCTACCTTTCTGCCTTCCAGCATGCTGGATTTTTTTGGGATGTTTTGTGCCAGCAGGGTTTCTTAAGCAAAGCAGGAAACAGAGGGAGCTGCCTTATACTGTTACTCTCCTTTTTATCCAGTCACCTTACAAACAGTTTTAGAATTACAGCCAGAACATTGTAAAACAAGCCTTCTTCTCACTGCTTTGAGACACCACACTCAAAAAACCCAATAAAAACAGACCCTAACCAAGAAAACCTTTTAAAAAAACCTCCTTAGGGTACATCATCTTCCTCAGTTAACTGAATCCAAATTGTATGGACTAGAAATTGGAAATCCTACGTAAACCTCTGTTAATAGCAAGAAGGAAGCCCCCGTCGCGTTGGCAGTGTGCTGATGATCAGCAGCAACACACCCCAAAGGCAAACGTAGGGGAGATGGCCAGCAGTCTCACAGTCTGCCCACGTACCTGCATTAACATGGCCACAGTCATAGGCCCAACGCCGCCAGGAACTGGGGTGATGTAGGAAGCTTTTTCCTTTGCTGTACTGTATGCCACATCTCCTACAACTCTTTTTCCACTGGCCTTTGTGCTGTCTGGGGATTTAAGGGAAAAGTAAATTACACATCACACTTCATCAAAACAACAGAGGAGGCAGCACTGGATGAAGCCAAAGTCTTTTCCTTTGCCGGAGTAAACAAAACAGAAGCTGAGTATACAGGGAACTGTAAAGAAAGATAAAAAGTTACAACATCACAGGATGAAGCTGTTTTCATCATACTTCACTCAGAGTTTCAACAGCTCATGCAACATATCTTCCCATTAAGCACCATTTTTCCTCAGCCAGACAGATCTCCCTTTTCCTTGAGGATGCAAGTATTTTCTCAGTGGCATGTAGCCCACAGGGCAGCCTGAAGATGATTCCAAAACAAATGTAGGGTGACCAAAGCACAAACCAAGTCTTACATCTGTGCAATAACAAAAACACCAACAAGACATAGAACAGAGGTGCCTGAATCATCCTCTCACAGCTCCTGCTGTATTGCTCTGAAGGATTAGTACAGCTTCCAATTTGAAGGAGATATAAACCAGTGGTCTAGAAGAAGTAAGAGAAGAAACGTGGCTGACTTGTTCCAAAAACCCAGGTTTACATTTGCTCTGTTCCATTTTGGAGGACTTCTAGGCCTTACTATTGAACAATATTACCTGCCTCTACAGAAACTGAAGACAGAGTGCTGAGCTTTTCAATTACTCATTGCCATTCTGACGATAAATACTGCAGTTCAGAGATCAGAGACTTGTCAAGACAAACCTCACAGGTGACTTAAGAGAGCTCCAGTAGAATAATCTCCTCTCTGGCCAAAAAAAATTTACTATATTCTGCTGCATTACATGACCTGACAGTTCAGAAGCAGATATAGCACTTTTTTTTGTTTCCAGCAGTGACCTTTAAGCTCACCCATAAAGAGAGAAAAAGATAAAATGCATTAGTAAACTAGCACAGTCAAAGGAACTCACTGATTATAGATACAGCATATGAAAAGAAAGAATATTTAAGTTCATCCTGGAGTGGCAGATCCTCATGTCAGATAGGAGAGCTCTAGGGAACTTTTAGCAGTGTGAAAACCCTGAAGATAAGATTTGAATGTTGTTACATTCAAATATATTGCTTACAGTAAGTGTATGTTTGAACAGAACACAATCAGTAACTTTAACATACATTTGGCGAGGGGGAGGAGTGGAAGAGAACCAAAATTCCTAAAAACTGATTGTATTAAAACCAAAGAGGGAACAGAAGCAGCTCTTGCCAACACTAATTTTTAGCTGCATTGTTACTGACAATTAGCAGCTTGGATGTTTTGTTGTGTTTGTGTTTTAATCAACGCTTCTCCTTAAAGTTCAAAGCTTGAACAACATCACAGCTGTTAAACTGTGTTCCTACAGCCACTGTCAGCTTTGCTGCCTGAACTGCAGACCAATCTCACCATTCAGCCTACAGACCAGTTTAATTGAGGCTGCCAAAGGCAAATAACAATTATATTTTCTTCTAAGGATGCCAAGCAGGCTTAGCAGCCACCCTGGCCCAGGAGACTAGAGGCCTAAGAATGAAGAAAACAAGCGATGAGTTAGGCACTCCAAACACAAAGAGCCTAATCTGTTACACAGACACAGGGATGAGCACAAGCCAAACAAACCCCCTGTCCCTGCCTCTGCATCCCCACCTCACGCCAGGCACTGCTCAGCACAACTTAGGAGCTATTCAATTACCTTTAAAATATTCTTTTGAAGGAAAGCTCACATACACCACTTTCCACCTCTCCCCATAATTTAACCTTCTCAATAATCATCATCCCACTCTTAAAAAAAACCCAACACACACTATACAGAGAGTATCACTGACACTATAAGCATTCCCAGTGCCTGTGTCTTCCTTGGTCCAGTAAGTTCTCTAGCCAGCTGAAACACAAGAGAGAGCACCCAAGGACTTTGAGATCAAAGAAGTGAAGGACATGCCTACACATATGGAATGAACAAGTATGATGATCCCCATCCACCTCCAGAGATAGCTGCATGGGAGGCAGCTTAAGTGCAGCTTCTGGACTGGAGCTAATTCACAGTCCTATTTTCGCCAGACAAGGGCTGGAAAGATCCACATGCCTTCCAAGCAAACTTTTGCCAACGTACACGCAACTGTAACATGTTTCTGGTGGATATATATATAAATGCAAACACACAAGACCATACGTGACCCTCATCTACAAAACATGAGGCCACCTGCTTGCAGTCTGGACACCACTGGGAAAAGAGTTTCATGAGGGATCCAACACAATCTGATCTTATAGGCCTGTGATGCAGCTTGATTACCAGAACACAGAGATATAAACAGAGCATCAAGCCAAGGCTTTTTATATCTTTCTAGCTCCTCTGGCGTATGAAGAGCATGGCACCGAGATCCAGAGGCTGATCCACCTTTGCTGCTTTCATATCCCACTGTTCAAGGTTCCCTGTTGGCTAGGGCTGCAAAGTCCCATAGCAGAGGAGGACTTTGAACAGGGTTGGTTCCCCCATCAGGACTCAGAGAGGGAGAGGACTATGCCATCTCGGGGAATAACCTCTGCCTGCATTGCTTTCCCTTCCTGTAGCAGAGCAGTTTCTACAGGCCTGGAATAAGGCATTTAGTTTGCTGGACTGGCCCCCCAGCTGCAGCAGTGGGGAGAGGAAGACAAATACAATCCAGTTTGGAAAGGGAAGACGACACACTTGTCTGCTCTAACAGAGGTTTCAGGAGACCCTTTTTTTCCCCTCTCTCTCTAACTGAAGACCTGGAAGAAATTTTGTTCAGCTGTAGTATACATCAACACAAAGCCAGATGTGCCTAAACTGCCTATTCTAGCCTCCCAACTGGCAGCCTTAGGACTATGCAGGCCACCCTCCATTCAAAAGCACAACAGCTGCATCTGCATGGCGCTACGTGGCTGTAACTTGTTTTAACCACAACTCGCAAACCTGTATGAAGTTCATGTCCTAATATGTCAAATCATACTGGGATTTCTCTGTACAGGGCACCCTGACTTGTAAAGCATAGGCATATCCAGAGATTGTCACGTCCTCCAGCTGCAATTCACATCTGCACCTAGGAGGCACCTAGATGGATGCACCTACAGCTATGGTAAGATGCATGGCAACTGTGCTATTTCTCCCCTGCCACGTTCAAAGCACCACTGCAGGTAGCAGGAATATTCTATCTGTACAGTGATGTAGCTGGAGAAGCTGGCAAACGAGCTGCCATTCTTTATGTAGCATTGCAATTCCCACAACTCTGGCACTGATTTCCCAAAAGATTCATTTGAAAACCTTTTTTTGCAACCTACCAAAGGGAAGAAAGAAACAGAACAACAAAGGAACAACAGGGGAAAAAAACCAGAAAAGCCAGTGGCATCCATCATTCTGAAATCCTCCGATTTCCATGGTAGTCTATCAGGCCCTGATTACCGAGTTTCACGATGCCATGAAGCGCGGTGCCACACAACACTGACTGGACTGGGTGTACAAGCTCAGATCTCTGTGTGCACTGCTCGAGGCAGACTAATTGCAAAGAAACAGGGACATGCCCTCAGAGATGCAGTTCACATCAAGCCATCATATATCAGAAACAATGGTAGTTTTATTTGCAACATTTCAGTGGGGGGGGCCCAAATCATTCTGCTTCATGCGAATCAGCAGTGACCCTGTGGGTTTTGGCAAACTGCCTAAGTTTGGGTAGCCTGGCACAAATACATTAAGGAACAAACAGCAACAACAGATGACTTTTTAATTTTAATTAGACAGAAGACTAATGTTTTTAAATGCAACTTGGTGTCATCTTTGAGGAACACGACTGCTGAACAGCAATTTCTTTACGTTCCATTAAATAATGGCAACAAAATGACTGATTAATTATGAAAACTACCTTTTAAGAGCTTTGTGGGTGTAGCACAGAGATAGTTGGATGGTGACTAATTTTCCCTATCATTCAATAACTGTAATTTGGTTTTAAAATGAGTTGAAAACAGAAATTGCCAGACTGTCTGTTCCTCCTTTATAAGGAAGGAGTAGCTAAGTGAAACCCTACCCTAAAATCCATTATGTTAAAACACTTTATTCTATGCCAGAGCTACTGTCACCAGTACTCTTGCAGAAGCTGCTTTGCTTGAAGACAACAGCCATTCAAGCCTAAGAAGCTCATGGTGCGATTCAACACATCTACAGCTACTTAAAGAGACTACTTGCCATTTATGTATTTCAAACAGAACAGCTTAATCAGATCCAACTGCAAAAGTAATGACGGCAAAGCTGCGCGCTCACAAGCGACAACAGCAACAAGACTTTGCTATGTAGTTGGGGCAAATTATGTGGATATTCTGTTGCTTCCTCTTTCATCTAATCATCATCAGCCTCATTGAAGGCAGAAACGAAACCACCAGTGATCTGCTTTAGGACAGTATTTCAGACCAGTCTTTTTTTATTCTGGCATCTTCAGGAGGTTGCCATCATTACCTAAGCCAGGCTTAAAAGAGAAGTTTGCATCAACTAGAAACACCAAGGAAACAGTATCCATGTACTTACTTAGCAACTGCATTTATATATAAATAAACACATCCCCATGCTTTATATGTTACCCACGCACCTGGCACATGGTTAATTCCACAGTCTATTACGACTGCACCAGGTTTGATCCATTCACCTTTTACCATTTCAGCTTTACCAGCTGCAACCACCAGGATATCGGCTTTACCAACCTATATGAAAAAAAAAAAGCCAAATAAACAACTCTATCACACCAGAAGCGGAAAAACGCAGAGCTACTTCAGCAGCAACTTAAATCAGCTTCAACTGGAGCGAAACTGCATGCACACACATTGCCTTCGGAGGGATGGAAGGGCATCAGCAGCAGTTAAAAGTAGCTAGCAGTTCTTTGGCAAAGATCAATTCCTGCAGACAGAAATTATGGCCTATTTTCACACTCCTACCCTGAACTATTGCTAGCCAACACTTACAACTTCATTTGAACTCATCCATGATTCCCAAGTGGATCACACAGACTACTTCTAGATAAAATTAAAGCCTTCTGCATATTCTTATCTTCCTCCCTTCAAATATCCCTGTGTATTCAGCTGCTCTTTTCAATGCTAGAAATATACCCAGCACAGCAGACAGCAGCCAAGAACCCCTGCACCGAACTCTAAGCAGCACTTCATTTGTGGCAGCGCTGTCTTGTGGGTTTTATGCCCAGGACTTTTTAACATGCCACTCCAGGGAAAGCTGATTGTAATTTAGCACTAATATGTGTTTAGACAGTACTCAAATTCAATAGATCTGGTCAGAAAGCTGATGCTACAGACTGACTAGAGCTTGTTGTCACTTCTTACACTGCTTCATTCATGTTTGGATAGGAAGCTGCTATCCCTTGGAATTTTTTCTTTTAATCTTCAAGGGAGATAAACTATTTTTAATATTTCATTAAGAATTACCACTTCAACTGTTAATCAATCTAATGACAGTCTTACTGAACAGCAACTTAACAGCATGAAGCACTGCAGTGTTTCTGATCTTCTTTGTTAGTTATATTCAAATACACCTACCCTCTTTTCAGCTTTAATACTTGCCTACAGAGCCTGGCAATGTTGATTGCTCTACGAAATCCAAGTAGGTGGCAGCACAGCAACACACTATTTCTGTCACTCTCTCACTGCTAAAGAGGAAAATGGTACCAACTCCCAGTCATAGAAAATAGACAGAGGGGAAAAAAAAAAAAATGGCAAACACATTTGGTCTAGCATTTCCCAGCCATTAAAGGTAAAGAGAACCTGGCCTTTTCAGAAAAAAGCCCAGTCAAACATATGCTGTCTTGCAGACCACTACATGGAGATTAGGAAAGCAAGATTAAATTCTCAGCACTTTCCCAAAGACAACAAAATCAATAATTTTACTGTTATAATTAAAACCTTCTAATTAAGGGCCAAAAATAACCATGATCCTATTCCAGCAGAATTATTTACAGAACCCTGCACTGAACAGGACTGGAAAACCATTTCAGATGCAAGACAACCCAGACCCAATGACTTCAGAGTAACAATACACTGAGTAGCAATGTGCAGCAGGCAGCACTGGCTTGCAGCAGGTAACTATAGCCTCATGCATCTAGCCTCTCCTTACCTCCTCAGCCAGGGTTGAGGTCTTAGAATGGCAAGTGGTTACTGTTGCGTGATTCCAGAGCAGCAGGTCATGCATGGGAGCACCAACGATCTTACTGCGACCAACCACTACAGCTCTTTTCCCTGCAACCTGGATGCCTGCACCACAAAGTTTGGAGAAAGTAAAAATAGGTCATTGTGCATCCCAGTACAAACTAACTCAAACGGCTCTGGAGTCTTTTGGTCACTTAAGTCTGGCTCTGGTACTTCAGGCTACTATTTTATTTCTGGGTTGTGTGTCACAGGCAATTGGAGTTGGGAAGGAGGAATGAAGGACCATTTTAAAACGAGTTCTTTTACTGTCTGAAAAGGCAGAGATGAAATGTGGCATTTCAACAAATGTGTCAGTGTGGAGCAGAGCCTGGCAATGTGTGTAATGTCTCCTCTTACTGAAGATTACTGCAGTCATGAATAATGGATGGCAACCTCCTTACCTGTCTGCCTGATAAGTTCCATGCATCCTTTTGGCGTGCAGGGAATAAAGCAGTCTCCAAGGTCCCCTCTAGAGAGTTTCCCAGCATTGATGCTACTTAAGCTGTATTTTGAAAGAATAAAGGCCAAGTAAGATTCCCAGCCTCATGACCACTGTTCAAAGGAAAAAAACAAAACAAAACACAAACAGGTTTCTTTCTGGAGTAGCTGTCACGCTCTCCAGGGGTGAAGTGAATTTACCCATCTACATCCTTCTCAGGTGCAACAGCATTGGTTATTTTTTCGGTATTGATGGGTTTATCAGAGTCAAGTGGCAGCTGCACTATAAAGCCATGAACAGCAGGGTCTCCATTCAAGGAGGCAATGCACTTGAGGACCTACAGCAAGACAAAAAAACCCAAATGGCCTATAAACTGGAATATTACTGTTGCAAAGGAAAAAGTATACTACTGTCTAGATTAAAAGATACACATGTGTGCCTATATATACACATATATTATACCCAAGAGTATAAACAACACATTTTTTATTTTTAGAAAAATACCTGTGGAAGTCTCTAAATTTTACATTGTAGCATTTTAGTTTTCTTTAAAAACTAACAAACAAACAAAAACCCCCACCAACAAACAAACAACCCACAAAACTCATCAGGTTCCAGTTCTTTTTTTCATGAGTTAGTATCTATGGGCAAGTAGGTTTTTTTTTTTTTTAAATAAATTGAGAGGGTGATTATAAGTTACTCTTTTCAGCTCAAAACCAGTTATGTACTTTTTCATTACTGGCTATATTACTTACATCAGCTTCTGTTGCTGTGTTTGGCAGTTTTATGTGATTGGCACTGATCCCAATCTGAAAATGAGAAAACAAATTATCCGATTTCTCAGTCGACATCAGAGATTCATCTGGCTATTCTCTCAGTCCAGCCCAGTCACAGCTACATCCTGTCACATTTCCCAGGTCTATCTCCTGCTCCTGTGACTACAGTCCTATTATTTGGAAATACCATCAGTGAAAGAGAAGAAGAAAGATTAGTGCTTTGCCTGTTTAGATTTCTCCATCCTTCAACTGTCCTATTCAACTTTTGACATGAACAACATCATCTTGACTTGAGAGCATACTGCTTTGAAACGTCAGCAGAGAAAACGCCAGCTATCACCTGAGGAAACAGGGATTCATCCATGTTCCCATCCCTGCTGTAGCACACAACGTACCACTTGGTGACAGATGCAAGGCAACTGCAGGTACAAGACATGCAGGGAACATAAGCACATGGCCATAGGTCAGGAAAGACAGAATATCAGCAGTTCAGATGCACATAATCTAGGAGATGATCACACAAATGTTATCGGAGCACCCACTTGGCTAAGTATCACGTTACACGCTTCCTTATAACAAAGGATTCAGGCCAACACTGGTTACTGCAATACGGACAAAGCTTAGGCAAAACTATTTGATTTGCATGTGTTTTTTCATATTAAGGTTTGACCTACTGTAGGAGGGTAAAAAGAAAAGAGATATTAAAGAGTTTGGGCATTACCTCAGCAGCAGCCTTCAGCTTCATATTAATGTAGAGGTTTGAATCATCCCGATTTCCAACCTAAGGATGAAAAGACAGTTGAGTCACACTGCAGAATGGAGATTCAGTGACAGGCTGAAATGGGCTTCACCCTTGGCTTCGAGCTACACCAAGGAAACAGGTATTCTTAACTGTAAAACACACTGATAGAGGCTACAAGCAGCTGAAGCCAACAGGAAAGTGTTCTTTCAAGGAAGTGGCAGCTAACAACAAGGTGTCTGATCTCCTGCATAAAAACCATTTACACCTGTTCAAAAACCTTAGAAACACTGTGCTCTCCAAAGCAAAAAATACTGCCTGCCATCTCATCTGAGAAAGTTAAATCTCTAGCTAATTAACACAATCAGCAGGTGCTGATAACATTTAATTATCTGATTAAAGCTTGCAGAAAAGTTGGGCCTCTTTGATACCCAGGAATCTTAATTTTATGCACATACACGTGCCTTGATGGAGAGACTTTTTCCACTGCTGTATTGAACCTTGAGAATTTTTCTGCCAAACAAAAAAACCCCAACAAAACCAGAACTAAGTGACGCACACAGAAAGCAGTAAATTGAAAAAACGCCTGTAGTCTTTGGCAGTATTGGGTGCTTACAGTACAACTGCATTTCAGAATACAGCTTGCATCATCCACTATGATTTCTTAAAGGTAATACTCCTCCTAACGATAAGAAAATGAAGGACAAATAAGGAAAAGCTGACAAGCAAAGTCTTGAAACCTCATTCCCTGGCACTTGGGAGCTACCCCTGGTTCTCACACAGATCACACAGTTCTCACTGCAGGGGTGACTGATCACCCAGCATACACTGGGTCTTCTTCCCTAGCATTAGTCAAGGGGCTGTCTCCCCTTTAACGTCTGCTGGGTTTAGGAAAAGGTATGCCTCATACAGGGCACAAGAGAAGGAAGAGTGCAGGCATCAGGAGATGTCGGCAAACAGGCCACATATATTGTATGAAAGAGGACATTTCTGACTACAGGACAAAAAATAAAAGCTTAACTGACTTATTCAGCTCAGAGGACACCAGATACCTCATAAGAAAAGAGCACATATTGTGTGGGATGCTACATATCAGAAACAGCTAATTATCTGAAAAATAGCTGAGAATATTGGTATTAGATGAGCTGCAAGCCCAGACCGTTTGGTATCTTACAAAAGTGTCAGAGAGCCAAAGATTGTAAAGGACTCTGAGACAACCCAGGATTGAAGAGAACACAGGCCAACCAAGAAAAAAATCTAATAATACGACACAGCAATTTTTGGAGACAGTTTACAAGGTCAGCAGTTCAGGAACTTCCAAAGCATCCCTTACTAAATTTTAAATAAAAGACCTTTTTCCTTCCTTCTAAACACGCCTTCTGTATAGATGATCTTCTTAAAGCTAATGGAAAAGAAAACCAGAAAAAAACCCAAACCACAAACAAATTTGTTCCTTGCACTGAAGAGGAGCATGGTCTAGTCACCTTCTGATCTAGGCACAAAGAGTTTGCATTTTTTATAGCTGCAGGGTAAAAAAAAAATAAATAAATAATAATAAAAAATAATCACCTTCATTCTGCCAAACACAACTGATGAATGCTTTTTGCAAGTGTTTCTGTGTAGACTCGAGCACTTACATTTCTGACAGATATCAAATTCAGCAGTGGGATTTTGTTCCATCTCCTGCACTCAAGTCTTCTTGGCCAAAGGTGGTTTTGGTTGGGTTGGGGTTGGTGTTTTTGTGGGTTTTTTTTTTTTTTCACCCCCTGACCCTCTTCTCTCTCCATGTTCTGATGTAACAGCAGACCAAATCCCTTACTAAATATCCCATTTCAAAGATTTCTGGTACAAACATATCTCTGAAAGCTGACAGGCTTTGGGGCTCACACAAATGCAGAGACTTGGAATAGCGTCTACAAGCACTGCTTCCTCTTAACAGCAAGAAGCCTACTTTCACCATTTCACAAACACAACGCCCAAACAGAGAGCTGCAAGGGTCTGATGGAAGGAATAAAAAAAAGCCAACCCCAAAATGTTTCTGGGGCCCAGTACTTGGGGAAAAGACGTCACAGAACTGTGTTGCCATCCCACAGGGTACAATGCTCTTCTGTTTCTTATAAAATATTACCACTGCAAGGCAACCTTGATGAAGCTCATCAGCTTACCATTCACTTATAGATTTTCTGTAGTTGTCATTAAAGAAAATGATACCTGCAATATTGCGAGTCCTGGTCTGAAGCCTGGAAATTTCTCTTTCATCTCAACAACTTGCTTCTTTAGTCTCTCTCTCACTTGTCTGAAGAGGGAAGAAAAACCCAAACAAGTTAGAAGTTAATCAAGCGACTGAGTTCTCATACAGTTTTAAGTCAGGAGTTGAAAAGATGACAGATGGGCAGACTGGCAAACATGTTCTTATGCCTCAAGTACACAAGTCCCAGCAATCTCCAGAACAGATTAATGTCCATAAATCACTAAGACACCTTGGAAGTTTCAATTAAACTTACTTAAATTTTTTTGTTTGTTTGCTTTTGTTTGGATTTTTTTTTTAAAGTCCATATTGTGCTTCTTCACCCTCCTCTTCAGTCTCATAGGACACAAGGGTAAAAAAAAAAAAGTGCAAAATTTGGCATGCAAATTCCTGGGATTTCCAACTCCCTACTCAAATGCAAATCCTCCTTCCATATACACAGTACCAAATCTACCTGTCTTCCACAGGCACCAGTCAACACTGTCACACATGCTGTCCTGGTAAAGGATGATGAATTTACAATGGTAAAACTCTGGAAAATAGCTAAATAGGAAGTACCCAAAGGTACCCCTCTTCTACCGTTGGCCAGTACTATGTGTTTCTATTTCCTGCCTGCTCGGCCTAACCCAGGCTGGATAGACTGCAGTCCTACAACCACCTTCCTGCCTCAAATCTGCTGCTGCGGTTGCCAACACGCATGACAGAAAATGTTCCCAGTCTGAGGGCTTCCAAACAAGGCAAAGATTTTTCCATGGGAGCAGGAAAGAGAAGGTGGACAAAGGTGAAATAGTGAGGGAAATTAGCCTGACCCTGGTACACAGCTCACATCAACTCTTCAGTGAAGACAAGTTTAAAGATATAATTATTAAAACAAAACTTTGAAATCGAAGCATGAGAGGATTCACTGATTAACTTCTCAGATGTCAACTCATATCCAGTTTACTATGCAGTGTTTTAGGGATAACAAGTATCCATCACTGATAAATTAGCTGCAGCCAGCCACTGTCACCACCCTCCCCAGCCTTGCACTCCTCTCTAATTTCTCAATCACTGTCTGGCTCCACGTGCACGATCCTTCACCAGGGAAGGAGGAGGGGAAGAGATCCTCATGTCCAGACCCAATGTGCTCTTTCCAGTTTGAAATTCTACCAAAAGCCTAGGTGCAGACCCAGCACCACTTCCCTGTCTCCCTACCAGAGGTGGTCGGGATGCAGAGAGAACGGACCAGTCATGCCCATCTCATGGGCTCGCGGTGCTGGAAGGGGGCTGTGGCAACTTCAACGCAAATGTGGGAAATACTCACTCGGAAGCGAAACCCAGGTGAACAAACCTCACAGGACACTAGAAGCTTGACAGGTCTGTCCTCGTGTCTGATCTCAAATCTACCCTGCTCCAAACACCCTACAGAAAAAAAACCAGATGGTCTCCTTGTGCTCATCTACCCTCACATCCATATCCCAAGGTCTGCTCTTTCCCAAGTGGAAATCAGACTTCCCAGACTGGAGGAGGTGCTGTTGGTGCCAGTTCATTAAAAATGCAAACAGCAAGAGTACAGGGACAAAATAGCTGATGCCAGCTGGGAGGCTGCGATTCCTGCCATGGGGAAATTCCAGGATGACAGAGAGCCAGTGAGGCCATCTCTACCCTTCAACTATGAGCTCCAAATCAGAAATGCCAGAGGCAAGAAGCAAAGGAAATGGGAGCAACAGATGGCTCTGCTGCAACCCAGCAGCACTGATCCCAGGGGACAGTTGCTCCAGCCAGAAGCAAGCCCGAAGGCTGTTTTAAGTGCCATTTCAGGGGAATTGCAGGCTCCTGCTATATCCCAAACCATGAATGTCCTTCTGCATCCTGAATCATGGTCAATCAAGCGGGTTCAGAGTATTTATAGGTGTTTCTGTCTGGCTAAGCTGTTCAAAGTCTCTTAACAAGCTTCAGCAAAAGAGACTGTTTCCAACCTTAATTAAGAAATAGTAGTTCCTGGGCTTCCTTTAGCTATCACCTCTCTAAAAGACTTGACACTGAGACTGGCTGATGCATTCAGAAAACAGTATGCAAGCCTTGTCCTAGCAAGTCTTCATGCTGAAGTGACAAAGTTCATCTGCTGAGGAGCAAAAAATCACCAACCTCCTCTGCTTACACTCCAGGTCTAAGCCCCTAGGGAAGGCACCCAGTCTACAGCTGCAGACACAACGGGGCCTGAGCTCACCAACAGCCCCTAACAGCAACACAACAATCTCAAGGAGCATCAGAAACCCACTGCACATGGCCTGTGAGCGGGTGCTGCAGACCAGCTCTTTGAGGGAGCTGTTTCTGAGAACAGGCTCCAGTCTTGTAAGGAAAGCACAGCGCTGGTTGGTGGCCTGAAAACAAACGTGAAACGTACCATAATTTATGACGCAGTAAAGCCCTCATAAGGAACAGTCAATCGAAAAGGGTCTCAGGTGTGAGTTTTACTTTTAATCCAGTCTCCTCAGTGGAGGAAAGCCAAGCCCACCAAGGGTGTAGTCTCCCTCTGTCCTGGGTGAAGCAGGGCTGTGACGTGCTTTTACCCCCAGCAGCCATGACTATTCACATACTGTACTGCTGTCATTTTCAGTAATTAGGCACCAGCTCACTTCCCCTTCAGCTACAGAAGAAAGTAACACACACAAACACATGAAGTAGTGCTGCCAGTGCTGATTTGCTTTAGGAGCCTTGAATCAAGAAATCACTTGTTAGACAGCCACCTAGTGTTCAGTACCACTGCTCTCTAGTTGACACAAAAGCCACAGGTGCAAAGGTTTGAGAAAATATTAAGGAAAAAAAACCCAAATCCTTGTAGCTCTGCAGACTTACAGATGAAACATGACAAAACAATCCTTGCAAGCCAGCAGCTATTTAGTGATACAGTTTGCAAAATTCTGCTGTGGACTTTAGGTCTTCCCAACGATAAAAGTTCATCTTGATAAATCAACATTTTTTTACTAGCTGTATGAAAATACTTTTAAGTCTTCAAACATAAATTTGCAGTTGTATGTGGCTCTTTCTCCAAAAGCCTTCCCTCTGATGTGAAGACCCTTCCTGCGCCCACGTGCCTTTCCACAAACAAACTCACACCGCAAACAAGGGTCCAGGGTCCACACAGGTTAAGGACAGCACACGGCTCTAAGCATACAGTGCAAAAGCCAGCTCCAGAGATTAAAGAACTGGTTAGCCTTTCTTTCTCTAGACTGCAACAGTGAGGTGAATTTAAATTCATTAAGTGAATTTCCTGGAACAGCAAAGGATTCACCACACTCCCCCAGCTTTGCTGTAAATGGAAGGTGAAGCACAGCTCCCACGTCAGGGCCTCCTCAGGCAGACCCACACACACCCCTAAGGGATTATGTACATACCACGGCACGGGTGGTGAGCACACACATCACCACACGGAAGATGACACCAGGCTGTGTTTCTGTCCTTTCTGTGAGTAATGGGGTCCAGGGTCTGTGTGAACATTGACGAACATATGACCTGGCAAGTACCTCTTCAGGAACAACGATGCCCCAAGAGAAGGCTGCCCCCAAAGAGGAGGGTTGGCCTTACTGCCAGCATCACAGACTGCCCAAAGGTGTCAGAAACATGCAGCAAAAACACTCTTGCTGCAGCCCTCCAGAAATGGCCCTACAAGGCTGACCGTCCTCCCCCAGGTCCTGCACCATCTTGGTCAGAGCTATGTCCCTGTAGCCATTCCTCCTTACAGCCTGCAGCACTGCCAACTGCTCAATTTCTGTTACCCCCATGACAAACAACCAACTGCAGTGTGGAGAGACAAGCTTCCTCTTCTCCAACCCAACATGGCACCATGTCCTAGCTAGCAGGACAACTGCATCATCTTCAAATACTGTGAAGAGGCTGCAAGCAAGCCTGACACAAAGCACCTTACTGGTACCCCAGAGAACAGGCTCTCCCTGGGGGGAGTCATGGGTTGGCTGTCCCAATGGGGTGGCACTGGGATGGGAAATGCCTTGGGAAAGACTATCTGAATATTGATGGTAATTCAACAGATGGCTCCAATTGAGGGAAGAGATCGCTCAGACAATGGAGCTGGAAACAGTTCATAAGTCTCCTGCCCTCTTACCTCATGCTCCACCATTGCAGGATCCCAGCATGCTGCCATTATCTCCCAGGGGAGCTGCCCACTACTTTCTTCCACTTCCAACACCCCCAAGGTTTTTAACCACTCTTTTGGTTGCATCAGCTCAAATATCTGGCTTGAAAAGTGCTCATGCAGATAAATACATGAAGATGCTTTTGCTTTTTTAGATGCTTTTTCATCCTGTCCAGAATGTTAACCCAAGGGGAGTTAACTCCAAAAGGGCTGAGCTGAAGAAATCATCATCCGCAGGGGACGAGATAGGCAGCATTTGAGGAAATTCTCAGAGGTGGCTGGCTGCCAACAGAGTTTAAATTTCACATAAAGATAAGTCCTTAAAACTCAGAAGAGTTTGCCCCAAGCATGAGTTACGATACCATGACCTGTCATGACCAGCTTCCCATGCTGCAGCATCAATCACACCATTCAGGTCTGCATCCCAAAACGGATACGACATACAACACCCAACTATCAGGTGATTTAATCAGAGGAAAACGTAAGAGAAATAGATGAGGACTCAATCTACCTTTGTGTGCCTGCAAGCACTCCAGACAACATTCTGGGCTGTATCTACAATGGTCTGTCTTCACAAAGAACAATGTTAAGATTTTCTTTTTTCCACAAAGGGGTCATGGCAGTGCCCTACATATTCTTTTCCTTACGTAACGTGGTGCTGATGTGCACAGATGACAGACCTGTGGCCCTGTTGTCCACCAATGTTTTCTCCTAGCTTATAACCTCTACAGAGCAGGATTCCTTTTAATTCTATGTCTGTACAGCACCTAACACAAGGGGTTCTCACTCCTATCTGGGGCTGCTCGGTGGCACACAATTTACTTGGCACACGGGCGGCGTGGTACCCTTCAGTGCATGCCTGAAACATTCTGGGTAGGGTGTGGTAAATGAGATCCCACAGGTCGGGGAATTTTTT